GTGAATTCTCTCACTGCACCTCTGGCCTACTCCCCAGCTCTTGTATGCATAAATAAATAAACCTTTAAAAAAACTGTCTAATTGCTTAGTAGCCTTATATCAACCATCCAAAGGCTTCAATGGCAACACAACAGAGACAGATTCTATAGAAGTAGGCCAGGAAAGTCACTAAAGATAGTGGCAAGGAACTCACAGAGGGAGAAATCTGATTTCCAGATGTCAAAAGATTGTAAGTGTTCATTAAAAAGAAAGAAAAAAACAAAACAATTGTGGGAGAAAAATGGAAAAGTAGTCTATATACAGGGAAAAGAGCAGTAAATAAAACTGAGGTGGCCTAGATATTAGATTTACTAAACAAAGACTTTAAATAAGCTATTAGAAATATTTCAAAAGATTAATGGAAACAAGTCTAAAGAATTGCAAGATATGGGCCTCCCATGTGTTACAAGGGGTTAAGCCTCAGCACTATGAAGCTATGGGCAGCCATTGTGGCACAAATTCAATCTCCAGGGAGGTGACCCACATGGTGCAGCAGTCCTCTCCTGGATTGCCAGCTGCTTCCCTCAACAATACATTCCAGTTCATCTGCCTGTCCTGCTCCCCACTCTGTCTCTGGTGAAACCTCTCATTCCCCACACCTCTGGCCTACACCCCAGCTCTTGTATGCAGAAATAAGTCTTAAAAAAAAAATACAGCATGAGAATAATACTTTAAATGAGGAATATCAAGAGACAGAAGTTATACAAAAAAATAACAGATTTTTCTGAAGATGAAAAAACAATAGCTGAAAAAAAATTTCACTAGGTAGACTTATATATTATTTATCACTTTGCAGTACTCTGCAGTTTTAAATTCCTGATATAAGTGTGAAATACCATACAACAGTAAATGAACTATACAAACACATCAACATGGATAAATGTATTGATATAACGTTGAGTGAATTTAATGGCAGAAAAATTAATGTGGTAATTCAGGTGACAAGCAAAACAAAGTAAGTGTTTAGGGATGCACACATATGTAACACAAAACTATAAAGACACACTTATTTTTTTCCTTATGACCAATGATGTTCCGTCCATTACCGAATAATTGTTCTTTTCTCCAAAGCTCTACAGTGCTACTTCTGCACATTCGGGTTTCCCTATATTCACAGCTCTGCTTCCCAGAGTTCTATTCTATGGTTCTGCTTTGGAGCCCAGGGCCAAAACCACAGACCTATAATTACAGCTTTACTGTAAGTCTATATAATCAGGTAAGACAAGTTCTCCCATCTTGTGTTCAGAAGTATCTTGGCTTCTACCCATACATTTTAGAATCAATCTGTCAAATTCCATGAATTAAAAAAAAAAAAAATGAGGGCCCTCCCTGGTGGCGCAACGGGTTAAAGCACAGCACTAAGAAGCTTAAGCCACTTCCGCATGAGTTCGATTCCCACCTGCCCCGGAGGTGACCACATGGTGTGGCAGACCTCTCCTGGCCCGCCCACTGCTCCCCTCAGCAGTGTGCTTCATC